TGATCGACATCTTTTGATTCGAAACATCGTGTACTATCTACTAGTATTTCCAACGCGTGTGGTCGGCGCCTTTGATTGCGTTAATTTTGTTTTTTATTCGCGAAATCTATCACTGGCAGCGTTTGTTTTGTCATGTCTCATAACTGAAAGTCCAAGCTGACTTTGTTTTGGCTGTAGGTATGAAAAACGGGTCGGGATTTTTTGGGGTCGAGATGTCCAGTACCCCCATAAATTATTTCGCAGATCAAGCTAGAAGGAAAGTAACAGAGGTGTGAATTCGACATTCAACACCAATCAGAAACTTTTATCCTGCGAAAATGAAAACAATTAGCAGTGTGTAAGGACTGCGTAATTTCCTGTTTGTCCGACGCGTCGTTTTCGTGTTACTATCAAAAATTATTGATACCTTTACATAACGCAAACTTAATTGTCTCTATAAAGCGATAATCAGGATGGCAAAAAAAGTCAAATGATTTGAAACACTTACCCGACGTCTCTCTCTCTTCTGAAATCCGCCTCGGTGATCATGGGCTGGTTCTGAATCTATTTTTTTTCAAAATTGTTGGTATTGCGCCAGGTTTAAGTTGTCGGCGCTTCTCTTTAAAACCTAGTTGTTTTTTCACGGCCGAAGACAGTTATTTCGAAAAAAGAATCTGAGGTGAAGTGGACACTACATATGACGCTGTAAGGAGAAGGTCCACCCCAACCTTTTCTCGTTGTTTTCACGGCTTTCGTCTACTGACGTCGCACCTTCGGATCGTTTGGAAAAGTGTGAATACTTACACTATGACTATACGTATTACTGCAACCGCCCACAACACAACGTTTAACCATCACAAACGTTTGTTCTGAAAACAACTTCTAAAAACTCTCTATCTCAAAAAAAAAAAAAAAAAAAAAAAAATTGACAAAAAAAAAAAAATGCCGACCGAAAAATGTATATCGTTTAAAAGTATGTTGAATCACGCAGTGTTATATAAGTACAGCTCAGGAGTATGACTTCCTCTCATATTTTGGCATTTGGTGGCGCACTTTCGGCGAGAGTCGGAAATCCGGAAACATTCGACCGTTTCAGGATAGGTGGGCGTGGCTACAGCACGAGATATATCTTAAATTTACTTGGATAGGAGTAACTATTTTGACAAAAAAAATCAATAACTGCCCACTTCAGTAGGACACGGATCTAAAATAGTTAACGTGAGAGTGGGCATTGCACAGGCACTTTAAAGCGACGATAACAACACATGCTAAAAACGCAAAGGATCATAGGTGGACGCTTGTTTGTAAACAATGACACGCAATAGCCAACTGACGCATGCGCATGTGACGACTCCCCCACTTTAATATATGCATAAGCACAAGTCGTTTTATCCATACATGCGATTTTATGCACCTTGCTTCACATTAACTTATCAAATAGTTGAGTTGTCTGTGGAATTGTTGACTTACCATTGTCGTTACCGTCAGTTATTGTGAACTTTGCGCCCTCCACCTCAACTAAAGAGATATTTCCGGCATCTCGGTCAGTGGCGGTTACCGTGACGACATGCTCTCCAGCAGGGACGTTTTCAGTTACACTGAGCGAGTAAAACGTCTGATCAAACACAGGTGCGTATATGTTTGTTTCTTTCACAGAGATCGTGACCTAGCAAGTAATATGGTAATGATCTACTCATTATGCATCTAAGTGAGTTGCAATGTGTAATTCACTTGTACAAAGAATTTCGGCGAAAGGCTCGGTCTGTGGTGGTGCGGGCGAGGGTGACAATCGGAGTTATGCTATTTGTTAGAGGTAATAAACGCCAAGCGAGGGTATTTAGTAGGTGTTATAAGACTTCTCTAGAGAAAATTACGCTTGGTTATTATTTGCCCCAATTGTGCTAATTTTCTTCAGACAAAGAGGTCTTATATTCACTACCAAGTATCTGAGCGTATCAAACAAGAAGTAAGAATTTCCTGAAAATATAAAAACTAAAGACCGAAATCACTTCATTCAATCTAGTTTTGAATCGTATTAACTGCGTTTCAAAGCCACCAATTGTTTGAGAAACATACCTCTGTTGTGTTCCATTTCACTGGAGTGCCATTGTCGGATGCGTTGACAGTGAAAGTAAAATCTTTTGACGTGTCCAATTCTTTCTGTATTGTTATTTCACCAGTTTCATTGTCAAGATGAAAGTACTCAACGTCTGAAAGTGACAAAATAATCATTTTGATGAAGCCTGTAGGTGCAGGTAAACACAACGGTCTCGGTAATATTAATATCGCGATAACTAAACACCCCACAGTAACCTTGAAATTCACATAGAAAATATTTTCGTAAAATAATATTTAATAATGAATCGTGCTGAAAGCTACACCTACTTGTTGTGTAAGTTATTCTACCATTTTCCCCTGAATCTGAGTCGACAGCGAGAACAGTGATAACTAAGTAATCAACGGGTTCGTCCATTGAAACTTCCGCCACGTACGAATTACTCATAAAATAGGGGGTATTATCGTTGACATCAATGACGTATATATGTACTATCGCTTTGCTACTCAGGGGAGGGTTTCCAGCATCTGTGGCTTGGATAATAAGGGTGTAGTTTCTGCCCTCTGTGTCCTCATAATCGATCTGAGCATTCCAGGTTGGTTGGATGAGACCACTGTCAGCTACAACATATTAACATTTTTGAAACATGAATGGTTGAAATAAGTACGATGACAACTATTTATTTAAACTAGTGTTTGTGAACAAGGGTGTTTCACAACTGTTTTGGACAACATGGCCTTACTCGTGACATGGCTCAAATAATGTGATAATTTGAATTAATTTGACCAATTTATACATTCACGATATTTAGATTTTACTATATAATTTATATAATAAAGTTATTATAAAATTAGAAAAAATAATAAACGTATTTTTTTCACAAAACGTGACAATGAAATTATAGGATAAATCTTGATTACAAGAGCTACACTGAGTTTGTGATTAAATATTGAGGGTGCGCGTTATATCTAAGAAGAGCCCCAGTATAAGGGTTTATCCAAATTAAAACCTGTCGCCACAATCCATATATTAGTATATTAGGTAGCCTAAATGTTAATGCAATTAACAAGTTCCCGGCAAAAAACGCTGCGTTTTCACGTTAGGAAACGTTTGCAGATTTTTCCAAATGGAATATGCCATAAAAACCCTAGAAGTGTATTCGTTATGAAAAACGCAAACCCTTACACGTGTGAACTAATCGTGGACATGCTAAGCGTACTGATCGTGGATGTTCCGAAATTGTTCTTATAAAAATTGCCTATTAAAATGATTGCATAATGGTCAACTCATGATATTCACGCTGAAAATGACGTAGCCCGAAATATAAATAACCTCCGGAAACCCGGACAGCTTCAAAGAGCTAAGTACGCAGCTTTTTAGTCCCCGTTCGGACGCAGTCCGAAAACGAGGACTTATGTTTTGACCTCCGTGTGTCCGTGCGTGCGTCTGTGCGTGCGTCCGGACCTGTATCCTAGAAATGCCTGGACCAATCACAATCAAACTTCACACATACATCATACATGATATTGTACATATGCACGTCAATTTGTTTCACGATCTGATTCAAGATGGCCGAATGGCGGCCATTTTTGTGCTAAAAATCATCAAAATCAAGCATTTCTCGGCTGTTTACAGATGGATTTTGTTCAAACTTATATACATTATATACATTAGATATTATGCGACCTTGATGCAAATAATTTTGTTTTCCAGATAAGATTCAAAATGGCTGTCTGGCGGCCGATTTGTTTTAATGAATGGGCTTCTAGACCCATATCTCCGACTTGTTTTGACTGATTATATTCAAATTTTAAATATTCATTAAACATCATGTCATAGATAGACAGATATATTGGTTTGACGATCCTATTCAAAATGGCCGAATGGTGGTCATTATTGTGCTAACAAATCATCAAATATCAAGCATTTCTGGCATTTATGGATGGATTTCATTCAAACTTGGTACATACATTAGACATTACAGGTTCCTGATGCACGTCATTTTATTCTTCAAATTGGATTCAAAATGGCTGACTGGTGGTCATTTTGTTTTAATGATTGGGCTTCTAGAGCCATATCTCTTAAATGCTTTGACTGATTATATTCAATTTTTATATATTCGTTATACATCATGTTATATATATATATATGTATTCAAAATGGCTGATTTTGAATGCTGTTCCAGAGCAATATCTCTCAATATGGACAAGTACTTGTTTGACGATCAGATACAAATGTCAATCATTTTAATGTTAAAAAATCATATTCCTGACATGGTTATATTCCAGCTATATTACTATAAACAAAACTATATATCTTAAATTTGATAACTAACGGGGACTGTGCCATGCATGGCTTGTTCAAGTTAAGATGGTCTATTCTGCTTAGTATTTTGTTACAGTTAAAAACAGTCATATGTCTCATAGAAACGCCCCGTCTAACATATCCGTTGAACGTACTTTGTTTGGAGTCATACACTGTCGCGTATAAACGTTGCACGAGCATCAACTCATTATTCACGTATGATTACACTATCAGATACTATATCATACTCACGATTAATTCTGACTGCATCGTCGCCTCCGGACACAATAGCATAACTAATTCTCGCGTTGTCGCCTTCATCGTCGTCGGTTGCACTCACTGTAACAATATCTACACTGTACAGGGCATTTTCTTCAACCCATCCCTTATAAGGCACAGATTGGTTAAACTTGGGAACATTGTCATTCACATCCAGGACAGTTATTTCCACGCCAGTGGTACTGTTTAGTTGTGGGCTTCCATTGTCTTGTGCCTATAAAGGCAAACAAACGCGATGTGGTATATTAGTGTGACTGTAATTCAAGTATGGTCTGACTGTCGCACGCTGATTGGCCGTGCGAAGTGTAGTGAAATATATGTACCTAGTGTTATATCAAGGTTATGAATAATTCACGTAATCCGAATCTTCATAGCGATTTTCAAATGCAAGATGAAAAGGGTATTTCGAATAATGACAACAAAAATAGTACTAAATAACACGTTCGGGAAAAGTAGTGATTTTGCGAATAGCAGTTTTGCCATGGAGTCACAAAACAATACTCGCCAACACTATAAACTTTGAATTCTTCATAAATGTGTAAGAGGTGCAACAATAAATATCATCCTGGTTATGAACAGTTTATATAGCTTCTTTAATGACGGACACGCTGTTCTCTCTCTTTCGTCAATATAATATTGAAATCTGGTAACGGATAGCAGACAAGTCTGTTATTGACGTTTTATCCCCTCGTAAAGCGAATGTTGAACATAGTTGAAAACACTGTACTTAATTATACATACCATTACAGTCATAGTATACTTCGTGTTACAATAACTTGAATTGTATTCTCTGTCAATATTACTATTAGCATATATGTATCCAGTGGTCGGTTCAATGGCAAACACACCTAGAAAACACGATTCGTTAGAAGACATTTGATATAAACATAACGAGGATACTCAACTATTTTCCACTATACGCATGCGTAATTGTGCCGTAGAGCTTACCGTTATTACCGTCTGTTATGCTGTATTCTATGCCTGCGTTTTCATCTATGTCTGTGTCCGTTGCTGTGACTTGCAGTATATACGTATTCATATTAGTATAGTTACCTTCGTTTACCTCACCAGTATACCATGATAATGTGAATACTGGGTTATTGTCATTAATATCCGTGACTTGGACATTAACCTGTTTATGAAAAAAGAATGTTAACCTCCGCATTCCATTCAAATGTGATATATCTGGGACTGAGTGCATAAATTAGCCAATTGCGTTTAATTAGGTTTGAAAAACGATAAATAAAACGGTTTATGCGACCTCAGCTTTCATATACTATAACAATGTTTACAGTATCAAAAATAACATAATCCCCATACAGGTTTTTTGAAAAGAATAAGAATACGGATAGAAAACAATGAATAAAGTCTTTGTCATGATAAGCGTGGATATTGTATATATTGATATATTACGTATGGATAGCTTACCACAGCGTAAGCATCTTTTTTGTTAGTTCCACTCAAATCTTTAGCGACAACGGTGAACGAATGCGATTGTATTAACTCTCTGTCCAATAATTGCGTGGTCCGAATTTCGCCCTGTCACGAATGAATTCAAAAAAAAAGGATAATGAACTTTCATATCACAGTATTTATTGTTTATACAGTAATAAAAACGAAGACGGTGATGAAAATAATGATGATAATTACGAATAACGCGCACCGTGGAATTGTCAAGTTCAAAATAATTAACATCATTCGGAAAGCTGAACTCGACATTGTTTATATCTGCCACTGATACCGATACCACAGACGTCGATGCAACAGCGTCTTCGGCCACAAAACCACGATAATATGGTTGAGTAAATGACAACCTGGAGATAGCGTCACTTTCGATTTGCACGTGAACTATAGCATAGTTAGAGCGGGGTGGATTTCCGTCATCAGTCGCAGAAATATTCAGGTCGATTATACACGGGATAGCAGCACCAAGACAAATCTGGTCAAAATTAATTGTCCTGTTAGTTCTTACTATGCCTCGATTACGTTCAATGGCAAAATCGCTGTCATAATTTTCGAGGTCATAGAACACTGAACCATCATCCGCATCCGTAGCCTTAACAACCACAACGACTTCGTCGGCCAGCATTCCATCTCCAACAGTAGATTCGTATTCACTCTCTGTGAAGACTGGAGTGTTGTCGTTAATATCCGTGACCGAGACAGTTACCGTGGCTGTAGATACGTGGTAGGGTTCATTGTTATCAGCCGCAAACACTGTTAAAAAACACAGTAATGTTCAGAAATTAAAACAGATTCAATGTATTTATAGATATAAAGTCATTTTCACAAATAAAAAACATACCTTCAAACACGTGTAATCTATCAGATAGATCTTCATAATCAAATGTTTTGTTTGTTTTTATCTCCCCTAAAAATAAACAAATAAATAAATAATAATAATAAATTAATAATAATAAATATAAATAAATAACAATAAATAAATAAATAAATAAATAAATAAATAAATAAATAAATAAATAAATAAATAAATAAATAAATAAATAAAATTAATAAAAATAATAAAAATAAATAAATAAAAATTATACAGATGGTTTGCACAGGATGCCTTAGAACTGACATCACTCCACATAACTGGTCGGGTCATGAAATGTGGAATACGATATTTTTGGCGCATTCAAACTGTAATATACTAACAAAATTAAATAGCAGACAACAGCACGTACAGCATGTCATTTAGAAGCATTTAGGTGCCAAGCGAACATGAATGTTCGCCACTGGTGTCGATTCAAATATATATATATATATATATATATATATATATATATATATATATATATATATATATATATATATATATATATATATATATACATATTGTACATATTGCTAACGTAATGGTCAGAACACGGATTGTCTCAATTTGCTACAACTAAACTGTATAACGACGATCTAATCAACTCATATATCAAATAAATACCCTAAAACGGCACATTACTCGATATAATAAATTGTTACTCCGACCCACACAGAACTCTTATTTCCGACAATATGTCCCGTGCTGTTTTCAGATGAATTATTCTAAGACTTTTATGATTCAGCCCAATTTGACAAGTACAGACCTGTCTAGACAGCAAAGTCAGTATAATTGTTGTGTCATACAAGTAATAACAATTATTAATATTTATTAATTGAAAGGAATTGATTGAAATTTTATGCAAGCATGACAGGTGTCTTTTACACCACTGAAACATGAATTGCAAAAGAAGTTCGTATTATTTACCTGTAGTTTGATCAATCTCAAACACAACAGTGTCCGCACTGTATATCACTTGACCATTAAGTCCGTCATCTGGGTCTTCCGCAATAACAGTTAGAACATGCCCACCAATGGGCTCCTCTTCCAATATATACGCACTGTTTTGCATCGTACTTTTGAATATTGGCTGGTTGTCATTGACATCAAGTAACTTAATCACAACCCGAGTAAAGTTTGTGTTAATTGGCTGACCATGGTCACTCGCCGATATATTTAAAATATACTGTGCTTTGTTTTCGCGGTCAATAGTGTTTGAGACGCTCAACACGCCTGTATTTCGGTTAATTTGGAAGTCGCCATCAGAGCCATCACGAATCTCAAAACTAACGGCTGCGTTGTTTTCTCTATCGATATCTGTGGCACTAATAACGCCAATCTTGTAGCTACTAGTAGTGTTTTCAAAGATTTCATAATAATACTCATTATGTGAGAATTGTGGATAATTGTCATTCACGTCAAGTAATACAATAGTTAATGGGACACTAGTGCTAAGACTTAGATCGTCTACACCATCACGATCAGAAACTATCACTTCCAAATCATAACGATCTCGTTTTTCACGATCCAGGTCTAAAACAGATTCATCATCAGTTGCTGTGATGACACCTGTTTTTCCATCTATTTTAAACTGTTCATGACCATCACCAGATAGAGTGTAGATCGTTGAAGCATTGAATCCATAATCACCGTCCGTTGACATTATTGGGTGTGGCTGTAATAAAATTTGTTATAATAAGTACAATTATTGAATTGTGCGTGATACGTAATTAAGAACGAGCTTTCCGTTCACTACAGTAGTAACGACATATGCATGGGAAACGATGATCAATCCCGCGAGTACTGCCACATGTGCTAAATACCATACGTACTATACAAACAAAACTATGTAGTAGATGAATAATTAAACATACCATATGAACTTCCATTCTATAAGAGGGATTTTCCATAATTTCTCCATGGTAGCCTTGTGTTTTTGAGAAGCTGGGATGATTGTCATTTTCGTCCAAGACCGTGATGTTAAGCTCTGCAATAATCTATACAACGAGCATTATTATAGTGATTATATTTTTTGCCAACATGGTGTAGAAAATTACTCATAAGCGGTGACACAATGCGATAACAACTAAGATAAGAGTGTATAATCATGATGCGTGTAGATAAAAAGCACGTTTATAAAAGCCAGATATATGCGGTGTTTCACACTGTTCTTCCTCTCCGCTCGAAAGATGGTTTCCGGTTGCTTAGCATCAGCAATACACATGCTGCAGTGGTTAATATATTGTGCATAACATACGTACATTATAAAACAACAATTCCTTGGTTATTGTACTTACGTACACAGGTTTTTATATATATATATATATATATATATATATATATATAAACCTAGTGTACGTAAGTATATATATATATATATATA